AACCTCTCAAGATGGGAGTGCAGGCAATTTTTTGCTTCTTTCATGTTGGGATTTGTAGACAATATCATTGCATTTACTGTGTCCGCTACAATTTCGCGCTGTGAGTCTTTTAGAAGATAACCAACAGCAGACTCCGATGGCCGTTCGTAGGCCAGCAAAGCAACACATTCCTAATATAGTAAAGAAAAGAATCTTGAGTTAAATTTAAATAGTACAGACGTGCATAGATAGACAAACAGGAAACAGAGACATGAAAACTATGATATAATTTTAGCCAATCTCAACTCATGGTAATGAAGGAGATGATATTGCACATGTTTTTCTTGACTTCTCGTGCAATAAAACTACTAGAATGATTACTATATGCTTCAAGCAGCAGATTAGAACACCTGTTATGAATTTGATATGGTGCTGGGCTAGGGATATTAGATGTGAATCAATAACAGTACTAGTTATGAGTAAGAAAACCCACCTGAACTAAATCCTCAAAGACAGACGACCCAAAAAAACTTGACAGTTCTATTCTTCCGTATTTGACAGCCTCCTCCAGTGCTCCAACCTTAATATCACATGCAGCAATATCCAGGTCTAAAAATTTCTACAATTTATATATAAAAGCTAGACAAACACAAAGGACATATTTTAAATTTTTAATGAGCAACATCTAACAAAAGAAATACAAATGATGTCAATCAAGATAACCGCCAAAATCCATACTTCACTAATCATTACTAATATCAAATGAAAACAAAGAAATGTTAAAGATAAAGGAACATTAATTGCCAGGTATACAAATGTTTACAAGAATAGAAGACAAGATTCCAATAATTACAAACTAAATACTGAAAAGGAATATACCGAACTAGTTCGATAAATTTTTGGCAATGAAGCAGAAAACACATAGCTGATGTATTGTCCTGCAGTAGACAGAATTGCTAGCTATTACTCATAGGGGTAAATAGAGAGATGAGATTCTTACATAGGAGAAACATCAAACCATGACAAAATATTTCATACATAATTTGATATATTACATAATTAATTGGAGAATCAAAGTATTTTAACATGAAGTCTTATTGAACATGGCCGTGTACATTGCCATTTTGGACAGATGTGATTATTTCTTAAACTCCATGAAAGAAGAAAGAGTGTCCATCAGAGGATAAAACAGAACATAACAATTAACAATTTAAGTGCAGCAAAGCATTTCCAGCTACAAACATTCCTTCTATCAGGACTTTTCTTAAAGCAATTTCAAAAGTACAAGTTAAAGATCATATGATGCCCCGTGATGGATTTAGTTGCAATTTTAATCAGTAAAATTTAGAGTTGATTAGAGCCAGGATACAAACAACTTAGAAGACAACCATTATAATCTAAGAGTACCCACCTCAGCAATCTGGGGATACCATTCACGCAATTTACCAAATGCCCTCGTCAATCACCCCACCCTGATTAGCTTCATTGAAAGAAAAGAGATAAACCACATAAGATAGTAAGTTTGTATATCAGCAATTGTTGCTTAGCTTTAATAGAAGATCCTTTCGGAGTGGCAATTATCACCACAAAAGGAGTCCTGACAAGTGCCAACAAAGATTGTAAGCGAAAAACGGCTGTAGGAGCATGCTGATGGCAATAGATTTTAAAGTAAGCAACAAAACAATATGAAAAAGAAATATAAAGTATTGATTTTAACTTTTATACTTGGTACTACCGTACTAGAGATTGTTAATCTTAGGGTCTAACTAAGCTAAGAATTGAACACAATAGAATTCTTCATTTTTTCAGCTCCATGTAACTGAACTCGGAAATAGAACATTCCAATTCAACGTGTAGACCATAATAAGGCTCATCTGAGTCTAATTCCTTACTTCAGTATCCTTGTTTCTATCCTAATTATAGATACCCCCCAAAAGCTGTGACAAAAACAAGTACCTGCCGGAGAGTCTTTCTGTGATTCAGTGCATATGTCGTTTCTTGGTCATCATTGCCATTATCTTGCACTATATTTATAGGAGGAACAGTACTCCTACTAGCCAAATCAAATGAATCCAATGTATCTTCATAGCCATAGTGTAGCAGATAGGAACGGACAATTCTGGTGACAAGCAATGATAATTCAGAAATATTAGAACATATTAGTTACTTTCATATATTAGCATTAATTCCCACAAAAAGTCATGCATGCCACACAGCCAAAGTGAAATAGATTAATTTTAATTTTCATAAAGCACAAAAAGTGACAGTATGCAACATTAGAGTCCTTCTCCCTAACCTAAGAGAAAGGTTTCATAGTGAATTACTATAAGCTTTTGCGTCTGCATTGAATAGTTGAATTTTTCTCATGGTATGTGGTTACAGAATAAAAGCAGACTGAGTCATCAAGCAGTGGAAATCATTTTAGATTTTGTGGACCATCTATTCATGTAATTATGTTTGTCAGCTAAATTACTATTAACATTGGATCTGAGGCCTACTGCTACTTCACTGTATTCTCCTCCTGTTTACTCCATTTTAACACTCATGGTAACTGTTTGTATCTGAAATATAAAAGGCCATAAAGCACACAAATACTTCGAAATAATAGCCATTTTCATGTCGAACAAGTATTCATGTCAGACACTTACCAAATACATATAGGAAAAGTACAATAATGAGATAAATGGTAGCATTTATTCGTCTATAATGGCGCATGCTAACTGTACAGACATTGATTATCTCTTTGCTTTAAGATTCATGTTCTAATATCCATTATATTTGATGTGTTGCATCAAAAAAAAAAACCTTGCCCCTGCCATAATTTTTAAAATTTTATTGTGTTCATGCCCTATCATATCATGTCTTGTATCCTATCAGTTCACACTAAGCATTCACCCATGAGAACTTTCTTGCTTCCAATAGAAGACAACACTAGGAGAGAAATTTGAGATGAGGAAACATAAATGTACTTCCATACACACAGGTAAACCTCAGCTCTCTTCCAAAATGAAACAACCATATGCTATAAAATCTTACTATTTTGTACAAGTCTAATCCCATGATTATTGATTTTTCCAGAGAGATTGATTTGAAAACAATGGTTTGTTGGTATTTAGTTTATATACAAATAACGGCAATTTCATCATTCAAGATTAGGCTTCAATTAAATCATTCAAGATTAGGCTTCAATTTAATCATTCAAGACTAGGCTTCAATTTCATTAAACTGAGCTTCTACGAGCCACGTGTGACACCTTCAGATATCCATTTGTTAAATTTAGAACCTAATCAATTGACTAATAGGATTACTATAGCACCCAAACATCCATGTTAACATTGAAAATATGCACACAATGATAAAGAAAAATGCACTTAATTTTAAATAAAAAAGAGACTTAAGAACTCATAGTAAGCTTGCACTAAGATTAAAATCGGTTGAAACTGAATACTAAAAAACTAACAGAAACAAAATGTACAAAAAATGCAGTTCAATGACGGTTGTTTTAAGTGTAATTTTCTCTCACCCATAACCTGGCATTTGGTACCACAGGAATATCCTCTATTTTCACTTGCTGCTTCATTCTTTCTTGTGCTTCAAACTCCTAATCCAACAAGATAAATAATTAAGAGAAACAATGATAAAGACTTGAAGGGAAGTACATCGGACAGTCTTTATAAAATTTGTGAATTGCAAAACAAAAAGGTTTTGTGACATTGATCATAGTGGCTGTGGAAAAGCACAATGAAATAATTGAATCTATAATCCCGCCCTAGTACAATCTTAGATTAGATTCAAGGATGGGTGACAAGAATCTCTAAATATCATCCTCCCAGGGCCTACCGAGGATGACCTCTTATGCTACTGGATAACCTCTCGCATGTACACTTACATGCATTTATTCATTTTAAGGAAATTAAAATTAATAAGAAAAGGATTAAATCAAATCGCGTAAAATACAAGCAGCCCCTAGAAGACTAGCTGAAAAAACAGATTTCTAATTCATCCCAACATGGTTGTCGAATTGCGAATAAAATCATGAAGGCCTTTCATTGAATCTTGAACCAAAACGAACCATAAACTATAAGATTCTTGGTTAATTATTAAATGACATAAAAAATATCATCCTCCAAATAAGAAACATTATAAGCATGATATAAATATAAGTGAATCTAGATTTTGCAATAAAATAAGCTGACAATTATTAAAACAACTGAAAATATACTTTATTGTGGTGCTAGCTAAAAGACAATTTTGCAATAATGAATCACTAGGTTGGAAGTAAATTATAGGTTCGATCTCTTCAATAAATAAGTTATAAATTTTCCTTGTAATTGCATTAGCAAGTAGGGTAATAATTAACATGCTACAGTGTATGATACACACAACCACACAAGGAAAAACATAATACATAAAAAGGTTGCATACCTTTAGATCAAAGATAAATGGTTTCTGACCAAAATTAACATGTACCCTGTTAGAGAAAAGTGAAACACACTCATGAAAGATTAAACACCTCAATCAACCAATGGTCATAAGAAGATGCTATTTGAAACAACACAAGTAATGTTTGAAGATCCTTAAAAATCGAAGTAAGGGAAATAATCAAGGATTCAAAAATGTATGTAGATGATCAAAATTTTCCTGGTCGCAAAATACATAAATATCTGATAGATGCCTTCATGCACATACACCAACATAAATATCTAACTTTATATCAGCAACATAAATAAAGAAATAAGATAAAGAAGCATGCAGCCACTCAATAAACGGGAAGAGTAAAAAAAGCACTAGCAGTATAACATACTCTTCATTCTGGCTATGAACAGCAACAGTTGGGAAAAGTGGACCCTTCATATCTTTGTAGACTGTGCCAACAACTCGTCCATTTTTACTGGCATCAAACAAAAGAAGTAAAAAGATCTTGTCATGGAAACAAATGGGAAAAATGTGTAAACAAGTAAAAAGAATCATCAATTATCAAGAATAAAGTCGATAGTGCTTTGAAGAAGGCATTTTTAACATGCAACTGCTGACTATCCACAATTTTGTATAATCAACCACATGAAAAACTAAGAGCGTGTTCACTATTGTGAAAACATTTGCATCTTCATTTCATGTTTCCCTTTTAGCAATAAATACAAATGTTAACTTGTTTCATTTTATTTTTTGTTCATGCCTCCTCATTTATATTTCAACTCGGTTCTCAGAATTATGAACAGGAAACAACGAAAACAAACAGGAAAGGAAATGAAAACAATAGGACAGTTTTGCAATTAAAAGTGACAACATCAGAAAAGGAAAATAAAAGGGGGAACATAAACATTATTCTAAAACTATATCTACACACTCTAATGGTTCTGAAAAGGGTGCAAAGCAGAAAGTAAATGAATGAGAAGATTACGTGAAGAAAAACTCCTGAGCAGCATAGTTAATTCCAGCACCAACTATATCACCAGTGGTATAGGTTGGACCAAAGTTTTCCCCTTTGCCATGTCCACGGTAAAGGAGACCGTCATCCCCATGATATCCACAGCTATTAGCCTCCCACCTATCATCCCCAACCACAACAACAACAATTAAATTTAATAACATATTCTCATCCAATCAAGTCACATAAACAAGTCGCCAAAAACAAAGTGAGAAAAAAAACAGTTTTTCTATTAAAAGTGAAAACACGAAATGAAAATAGAAACACAATTTCTCAAACCAAATAGAAAATTAAGAATAATAACAATCAAATCAACATATATTCTCATCCAATTAATTCTCAAGAACAACTCTATGTATTAATGGTGTAAAAACAAGGATCAGTTTTGCAATTAAAAGTAATAACATACAACAAATGAAAACATCTCCTCCAATAAAGTAGACAGCATCAAATTGAAGGCAAATTGTCTCGTGTTCGACATGTGCCGTGGGTCTGACTGTATCATCAAATATCCGCAATGGAGACTCTATGGCAGATATACATGGCGGTTTTTGAGCAAGCCACAATGGTAAATATCAGTTGATATTGCTGCTTTTTCAGCCATAATCCAGTATAACCGCGACACCAAGCATCCGGTATGGCGGAATTTTGGCTCACCGTCATTCGCCATGGACAACACGGACACACGTGCATTCAATCGCTTTCATTTTCTCGAATTACTATTAGTGTCTACGAATCAATGTTTAGTCTAATGGCATAGATATCAACAATTACATATTTACATTAAAAGAAATTCCTCACCCAAAGATTCATATAAAGTATGTAATCATAAACACAAGGGCCATGAAAACAGAAACACTTTCTCATCCAATTGATCCACACAATAAGTGCATTACAAACATATCCTCATCCAATTGATCCACAAACAATCGTATTCTAAACATAGCAAGAACACATTAAATACATTGCAAACATATCCTCATCCAATTGATCCATACAAACAATCTTATTCTAAACATAGCAAGAACACATTAAATACATTGCAAACATATCCTCATCCAATTAATCCACACAAACAATCTTATTGTAAACATATCATAAACACATACTAATTGTGCAATTGAAAGTGAAAACAAGAAATGAAAATTCCAAAGAGTTCCTCACCCAGGCTGTCTCCGCATCTTGAAATTCTCCGACGTAAACCCAATCGAAACCTGACCTTTAACACCCGCATCCTTAACAGTAATCTCAAAGTAATAAACAATCCTCTTCATCGGAGCAACTCTATTAGCTTGAATAACACCAACATCATGACCATGAAGATTCACATTCACATACTTCACCGAAAGCTTATCCGTCGCCACCACAACAAAACCTCCCGAACTGTTCAAAGTATTGAGCTCAGTCGGAGATTCTTCCTTCTCATCGTCGCCGTCGTAATCCTCCAACTCTTCCTTCACTTTCCGGCGACAGAGCTCCAAGAAATAGAGACCTAGATCGTGTTGTTGATCTGGCTTTTCAATTTCAACACTGGTGTTTCCGTTGGTTTCTTTCATCACTGGAATCGCGAGAAGTTCTAAACCCTAATTTTGTGATCGAGAGAATGGTTAGATTCGGTTGAGATGATGGAACGGAATTCCAAATCTAACCCTTCACGCTAACCCTTCACGCTCTTTCGGTTGGAACGAACTGTGATATTCTTTGAGTTTCGATTTTCTCTTTTCGGTTGTTTTAATTTTCGATTTTTGTTACAGTTACTGTACTTGTACTTTCTTCCATCACGATTCACAACTCCACCGCAGGCGCACTGGAGTGGAGATTAAACTCAGCTCCACGTCACCTATAATTTATTTATTTATTTATTTATTTTATCTATCCTTTTATATAATTTATCTTTTGTTATTTTAATTAGTTTTGATTTATCTCCCTTTAAGAAAAAAATCTTGTGGTCTCTCCTTAGTTTTTTCGGTTTTTCTTAAAAATAACTTTGACACAGAATTTGGTTGAAGATTCTTTATAATTGTGCTATGTGGTCACTTAGATTTTGTTGACTGGACATTTCATGTTTTATTTAAAAGGAAAAGTAACTTATAAAATAATTGATTTCTGATTTTACCCCCTTGAAAATCTAGGATTCTTAATTGATATCGTTTTCAGCCAAAAGTAGTAACTGGAGATGACGAAGAAAGGATTGAAGACGAAGACGGAGCAATCGAATCAAGTGAATCAACCGAAGCAAGTGGATCAACTGGAGAAGACGTATCATGAATAAGACGCAAAGGTTTCTCAAATCCGACAAGTTTGTATTTTCATTGTATGCTTTATTTTCCCAATGTTGTTGATTGTAACGTTTTCATCATTTTCCACATTAATTTCAGAGTATACAAGTCTTCAATGTTGTATTCCATTATGAAGGAGGATTTGTAAGGTTGATTGATGGGGTTACGATTTACAAGGATGGTGTCTCGACTTTAGTTTCTGGGCAACATATTGATAAGTGGCCAATGGTTAGCATTCATAAGTTGGTGAATGGGTGGGATTACATACAAGGGACCTATAGAACATGGACTAAGATTCTTGAAATAGATGTAAACTTTTCTAGATTAGGAACAATGACGACTGTTATGATTTCTCCGCGTCCCAAGTAGATGGGGAAATGTTTGTGGAGCATGATATAACGGATATTAAAGTCTTAGTAAAGAGTCCTATGTGTGTAAATGAGATTGTTGATATGGATGGATGTGATGATGAGGGAGTACAAGGGTTGGGTGATAGTTGTCATATCCTAAACTTTCCCTATTGGTTCTAAATCTTTTTATTTTTAAAAATCATTCTTTGCTTTGTATATTATTCAAATTCATGGGGTTTAGTTCTTGAAAGGGGGTTTAATGGGTTTTTATAAATAAATAAAAAATTCGTGTAAAATTTTAAGCCCATTACGTTTCAATTAAGACTCTTTGATATTGACTCTCATTTTAATTTGCAAAGAGTTTTACACTGTTAAAAACTCTTGGGCCTTTCTAAATCAGAAAGGGCCCATGTAATTTTTTTTAGTCCATTTGAAAAGTTGAAGGGGGTTTGCGCTACATTAAGAATTTTTTGGCCTTTCTAAATCAGAAAGGCCCATGCAAAGTTTTGGTCCATTTAGAGTTCTAATAGAAGGGGAGGTGTGTTGTTTGTATGAGGAGGTTTCTTTGACTAATTGGATCGACCCACTAAAAGATATTGAGACCTGTTTTTTTAAATATGGGAGGGGGTTTACATTGTTGAGAATTCTTGGGCCTTTCAAAATCAGAAAAGGCCCATGTGAAGTTATTGGCCTATTAGTGAATGAATAGGAAGGGGTATGTTTTACATTTCGGGAAGGCCCAAACAATAATGGATACAAAAAGGCCCATTTCAGTTTTTGGCTGTTTTGGAAAAAATTGTTTTGTTTCTAATTATTATATTATATTATTATTAAAATCATTATAGTTTAAACTTAATTAAATATGGTGTTTTGTTTTATTAATTAAAAAATGTTTTACTAAGAAAAGCCAGAATTGGACTTTTAATCTTTAATCGCATGGCCTAAATCCAACGTCAAGCAGGCCCAGTCCAAAATCCAAAAAACACTTTGCTGAAACGCGCATTATTCAGATCGAAGGGAAAACGCTTGCTTTCACGTTATAACAGATATTGTTTCGATCAGACAAAATCAAATCTTAACTAAAATTAACTTATCACAAAATCAAACTTCATAACAAGATCAATACTGAACTAAATCAACACGGAATCAAAACTTATCAAATCTTTACATCAATACAGATTACAAACAAATTGCAAATCTGTGAAATCCCTAATTTCTCTAAATCAACTCTAAGTAACTATAAACATTAAAAAACTTCCTAAATCATTTATACCTAAAATACTATATAAACCTAAAATCAAAATCAGAAAAAGGGGAAGAAATTTGACGAAGAGGAAGAGAAACTTCAGACGAATGGCTTGTCCCCTTGAAGCCTCCTCGCCATGTAAATCTAGGGTTTCGATTTCCAAAACCCTAAGACCCTCTTTCAAGCCGTCGTATCGCATCATCATCGTCTTTAATCCATCACCTTCATTATCCTCACCATCACCCTCACCTGCCAAATAGACAAAGGAGATTAGTGAAAAGCACTCATCGGAGCAGACGCGGATAATACAAAGGTAAGGCCCCAAAAATTCAGCTTTTTATGTTTTTTGTTGTTGTACCCCAAAATTTTCCCTCTCATTCATCAAGAATTTGCTCACAAGATCTCTTTTGACTCAAGACTGCACTAGGGTTGATCAGCTCAAGATACCTCCTTAAGCACTGATGAACAAAATTAGGGTTTAAGTTTCCACAAGGATTTTTGAACTTCCAATGCCCCATATGACTTTTATGGATCATTATGGACCCCCAAGATTACTCGTGTCAAGTTTCAAACCTTGGATCACACTTTTGCTCAATCAATTGAGCAGTTGACCTAAAAATCAGCTATATTGGGGAAAAAATCAACCATGGCCAATTTATAGTCAAACTTCATAATTTTGGATCCACATTAACATTTTAAACTCATGTTTGGACCACAACTCCCCAAGAAATTTGATCAAATCTCCAAAAGGGCAAAATGGTCAAAATTCGGGTTTTGACTGGGAAAGGGCAATTGCTGATTTTTGACCTAACAAACGATCAATTGGTTTAAGGCATGAACTCAAGAGTCCAATTGCATCATTTTGACCTAATGACATGGTTCAAAATATTGCAAGTCCATTGGATTGACAAATGAATTTTTCAGTTAACTGATCAAAAGTCAAATTGTATACTGAAAAGTCAAACTTTGACTTTTTGGTCAAATTCAAGTGCCAAATATCACAATTTATCAAAACATGTCAAAATCTGAAACTTATTCATCAAGAAATCAAAAAGTCAAGATTTCATTTTGAAAAGTCAAAATTTCTAAACTTAGAAATTTTTCTAAGTGTTGGAAATTTCATATTTTTTTCACAACTTTGAACAAATTTTTCACCATGATGAAAGATGATTCAAGAGAAACTTCCAACATGAAAGTTGTATATCTCCGTGAAATATACAACTTTTCTTCACACAACTTCTTCCAAAAGTACTTGGATCTCAAGTTATAATTTTATAAATATGTGGTCATGAAACAAAAGACTTAGTGAAATTTTGCCCTAATTTGGTCAGGATTTTGACCCAACTTCATGGCACTTTTTCATATAGTTCCAAGGGGAATCTTCAAAATCAAATCAAATATAGGTTGTATAGCAAATTTCAAGATTTCCAAAATGTCCAAGAACTCCTTGAGATCATTCTTGAGTAGGGAGAATCGAAGAGATTAAGTTAGGGTTTTATCACTTTAATTACAAGTCATTTTAGTGATGAACAAAATTCAAATTCAAAGTTGTGTTGCATTAACTCTAATTTGCAGGCCTAAAACTTGTTAGGCACTTCATAATTAATGGTTTACACAGCTGTTAGAGGTCTCACTTCAAGAATTTAATGCATGGACATGCTTTATATCCATTTTTGGAAGAAAAGTTACATTGTCATTTTGATAAAGTGACTTTTTGTACAAAACTTATTCTTGAGCCTTGCACTTGTTCTCTTCTGATCAAACAAGTCCTATAACTCATGAGAAATGGTTTAGACACTTACAATCACCCATCCCATGCTTGTACCTCCTCTTGAAACTTGTTTCCCTCTTTTCTTCAAAATCAAGTAACCTAGCCAAAAGCTAAGAACTTGTACTTCTGACTTGCCAATGCACTCCAATCTTTTTGCTTATAGATACACAAACTATTTGCACCAAATACACGAATGCTTGACCACTGAAAAGAGCTAAAACTCGGAATCACACTTCATACTTCCATTTTCACACAAACTTACCAAAAACTTGAAACTCATAATTTACTCGTGCGTTTCTTGGCCTTCTGGTTTCTAAAGTTTCTAAGCATCATATAGAAGTGATCCCACACCCTGTTACAGAACTGTAACACCATTAACACCATCCTCCATTTTCAAAAACAGAGCTCTGCACATTGACTTCTCCGTACCATTTCAGCCATCCATTGCTCAAGTTAATCATTGCATTAGCTTCCTGGGACCTCAAGGAAGTTAACCTGATCATCATCATCACTTGAAACAAGCTCAAACTCAAAACACGATTTCAAGTATTGAGGTAAGTTTTATAACTTTGGAACTTTTCATACAGACATCATCAATGATTTATTTGTGAACAAAACATGTAGATATCATTGCCCTAAAGCTAACCATGTCCATAGTTTCCATTAATTTTGCTTGAGCTTAGAGAATTTTAAAACTGAAATTTCTGAGATTTTTAGGGTTCAGATTAGGGCCATTAAAACTAATGCTTATCTTTGATATATAGTTTTAATGCTTTACATTTCTGAAGCTGTGAGGAAATTTGCTATAAGTTTCATGTTTACAGTTTTCATTTTTGATGAGAAATGAGCAAGTGTTAGCTCCTAAATTCGACACCTTTGTTTTGTTGATGTCAGCCATTAAAGCTGAAGG